TTTACTTTGTTTTTTTTTAATTAAAATAATAATAAGTGGCGACCCTTTTTCATTTTTGATTGTTTGTTATGTGGATTTGTAGTATTTGTGTTACTGTATGTTCAATAAAGGTGTATTTTTGGCATAGGCGCCAGATCTGGGGGGCGCTGCGCTGGTAGCTCTGGAAGGGGAAAAAACATTTTTGACCGTTGGCGCTCATCCTAATCTTCGGCATTGATGTAACAACATTCATAATTAAGTAAATGTAACACCCTTTTCACCCCGGTTACACTTTTCATTTGCCCTGTACGATGGGCGCTGTAAGTGATGAAAGTGGGGGATGTTGGCTTATCAGGCGCCCGCAGCTCACAGACAAAGTGCGAGCGTGGGAGCGAGAGAGCGAGCGAGAGAGGGAGCGAGGGAGAGAGAGAGAGAGAGAGGGCGCACCGGTACCGGCGCTGTTGTTATTAGAATCTGGTGCTAGCTGCGCTAACGGATATAAGAAGTAGATGTTTCTACAACCAGGGTGGAGGAGAGCTCTCCTGTCAGACTGAGAGGCTCAGTGAGGTAACGGACTCTGAGTGTTTAGATAGTTAATTTTAGTCTAAGTTATCTCAGTGGGTCTCAAACGAATATGTGTTTACAAATTATGTAAACACATATTTCCAAGGCACTCCTTTATAATTATTAGGATAAATAAAAACAGGTTTGAAATCATTCCAATGTATACTATAGGACAGTAAACCAAAAATATTGTTTAAAATTAGAGAGATACAAAAATATGCATAAATAAATAAATGTTAACTAGGTAAAATAAGATATGAATGAACAACAAAAATAAAATAAGTTACATTTATTTGTTACTGGCTATGGTAGGTTATTGGTTATGTTCATATACTTATTTGATTATTAAAATGTAAACCGATCTTTGTCATATGGGTGTTTTAGAGTTGTACCCCCTAGATCAGGTCTCTAGTAATTGTGTGCTCAAAGTGCACCAGATTGAAGCTTTTTACTTTAAAATGTTCAAACATATCTTCCCGGGGGGGCATACCCCCGGACCCCCCTAGAGGATGTGACGTCCACCCCCCAATTCAAACATGTTCATACAATACTGAATACATTTGAAGCCATTTTGACGTATATTACCTATGTCAATAAATTTCTGTTTTTGTAGTGTATTTGTCTTTTGTAGAGATTTTTCATTTATTCTTTATATATAAAATCTCGCCTAGGGCAGCAAATTGGCTAGAACCGGCCCTGGTACTAGGCCTCAAGAGCCTTTCTTGTGCTGGCAGACACATAGAAACAAATTGGCGGGGCGCACTTCGCACATACTAAAAAATTCCACGCGCTCCGCGCTCACATTATGCTGGGCCCACGTGCCTTAGCACCGCTGCTATGACTCCATACTAGGGGAAACACTGAAACTGTAACGATTATGAGTCATATTTAAAAGACTTTACCTCCATTTCCGCAGCCCTTAGCTGTCCGAAGAAGACCTTCCTCATGAACTTTCCCAGCAGAAACACCAACACAAAGGCCTGGATGTACAACACCTGGAACCAGAAACAAAAGTGGAACAGAAAGATGAGTCATTACAAAGTCGCTGTAAGGGATTTGGAGAAACTATTGTCATATTTAAATGTTATTAATAAGGGAGGCACCGCTGCATTGGCCATACATCAGCAAACAGCAAATAAGGTGACATGCAACAACCAAATAATGTTGGTAAAGGATGTGTGTGCTATCATTGTTCTTAAATAATGAAAGACAAAATTAGAAAACTGTGTGTCTTCATATGCCGGTGGATGGGAGGGGGGGGGGAATTAAAATAAATACATTGGTATCAGCCAAGTTATAAATCTAACCATCGATATTGGTATTGGCTGAGTAATTTGCAATCTGTGCATCCCTAGTTAAAATATTTGAATATGCCAAACGTCACTCAGGATTTGACTTCACATTAGCGCTGCTCTTACCGCCATGCTGGGGCTGCTCTTGGTGAGGTAGACCACGGTCGGGTAGAACTGGTTTTTGAGGAGGTAAGCGTGTGCCACCACGGCCCCGGTCAGAGCCAGGCTGGTGGCGGTCACCAAGGCTGCTCGCACCATTTTGGATTCGGCTACAGATACTGTGGAGGGGAAACAGAGGGAGGGAGAAGAGGTTGATGCAAGTGAAAGCTGACTGATGTAGCAGAGCAGCATGCAAATCATTTCTCAGGCAGTACAGCAAAATGACTTTATGTTTGAATTCTCTGCCAATATATATAGCCTTTCATAATGATCTCCTTTGTAAACTATGTTATCATTAAAATGTTAAGGACACCATCATGCGTGTACCCTCTCTCTCTGGTTAAAAACATCCCAACAGCAAACCTTTAAAGAGGTTAAAACAATCAATAATTTATGATTGTGATATTTGAGGGTTAATGAGGCAATAAGATGCAGCCGCACTGAAGAGTGTCTGTTTGCTGTGACGTGTTTTCCTCACAATTGTGTGCAGACAACAAACACTTTAACTGTAAAATACATTTTCAGGGTTATTATGATATGTTCAGCAGCTAAACAGCTTATGATTTTATTTTTTGTTCCAATGTATGTCACTACTTTCTGAAGAGTAAGTATTGCATTAACTCTGTTAACAGCAAAACTCTCAAGAACAGTGTTGACCCCTCCTCAGGGCCTGTTCCAGAAATACTGTCAAATATAGGCACCAGACAAACCTGTACCTACAGATTCCAATTACCAGCTATTTATGTTGTAATCAGGAAGACATCTTCTGTGCCAATACTGCTCAAAATAATGATTACAACAATTTACAACTACAACATCCAAGAACTCCGATAATGAAGCGTAGTCCATGTTTAGATCATTTGTTATATCTCAGATGACACAGATGACTGCTCATGTGGAAATCTCAGTAATGCAAAGTAGCATTTTCAAAACTGAAGTGATTGGCTACAGTGGAAGCAGTTTAATTCAAAAAGGATGATGTGTTTATAACTGATTGGGTTAACATTATTTCAGGAAGATCCAAGAAAAATGTTGAAGTATTTACCCAGGGGTTGGATATGAATCACACCTACTCTTAAGTGTTAACTACACATGGTCAAGATTTGTTTGGGTACGATTTAGCGAGTAAACACACTAGCTGTCAACCCGCCAAACAAGTATGTGTTAACAAATCCTTATATAAAATAATTCCTTACAAAATGAGCAATCTGATGAACACATTGTATTTATTAATAGGACATTAAGGTATATTTTAACTTTGTAGAATATTATGTTCCCACTTTTGTTAAAACACCTGTTGTATGAAAAGCTACAAACTGATATAGCATTATTTTACAATAAATCTACAGTCATAGCTCGAGTGTAAGGTGGTGTTTTGTACATATGTTTTATCAGGCCACACAGCATAACTAAATACCATACGTGTTCAAAATCAAAACATTGATGCTTGATTTCTTTTTGCTCCTGTACAAATGCTAAGCAGTGTACTTTGTTAGCATTGTGTACACACTCCCACTGTTGCAGGTATTGAATTCGCCCTGCATATGCTACATTCCTCATGTTGCATGCAACACAAAAAAACTAATATGACTCTTATTTCTGTTTATATGAAAGTAGCTAAACCCAACATGAACCATCCCAGAGAATAAATAGCTCTTTTAGCTAACTTAGCTCGCTAACGTTTAAGCTAACATTTTAAATTGAAGCCTAAAACACCTCCAACCTTGTAACCGCTTTTGCAAGATAAAATAAACATTTACTTTAGCTAATGAGCTATTTATATGCTTCTCAGAAAGCTGAATGTATACCCATTTGTTGGAGTAATGTTACTTTGCTCCAGAGACCTCCTAGTTAACTGTCAAAGATAGGTAATTATGATAGTTAGCTAGGGTTAGCTAACGTAAGCTAGCTAGCAGGTAACGTTACAGCTGTCAGTTCTCTGCGGGACTCACCGACTCGATGTCTGCGGAAGACTTGCTTCTTTGTTAATTTGAAAAAGTCTCCTTGCCTGCTAAAATCTCTGTATTGTTAGCTCCTACTCCATTTCGATCTTTTCACGGTAGCCCCTCTATAATATGTATTATCCTCGCCCCTGTTCGTCTGGCTACGTGTTTATCTTTGGCTTGCTCCTTAGGAGCCACATCACATCCGGCTGCTGAGGTAATATGACGCAAGAGCAATTTCACACTGCACCTTTCCGTCAGTTACTCGGTTTAAGAGCATTTAGGAAGAGAATATTTGCCTTAGATATTCATTTCACGTGTCATTTATATAAAATCACGCATTTTCTTAGATGTATTTGTAGATTTATGTGTTTTGTATTTGGTATAGTTGAGGGACCCGTCTTTTAGGAGATTTACGGTAGAAAACCAACGTGGACCAATAGGAAGTTGTCAGGTTACATGCAGGTTTCATGTATGCTGCCATAATGTGGGAATACTGCACACACAGGACGTTAGGACTTATACAATAGGCTAATATAGGCCCAAATCAGTCTACAAATGTGGCTGAATTATGCTTTATATCCCTTTATTCAAAAACTCTTGCTCTAAGAACTCTTTGATTTAAGAAAAATATCAACGGGAAGCAAGATTTGGATTATGGAGATAAACGTGTCTCTGAATTTTATATCCGCTTTCCACCATAAAGTGTTTTTCATCAATAATGTAAATCAAAGGATATTTCCCAAGGGCCAAGGTTATTCATTAAACAAAAAGCGCATGGAAGGTTGTGTTTTATTCATTTTAATCTGTAAATGTAAAGGGTTAAGGTCTTTGAGTACCATGATATTCTCTATAAAAGGGCACCTGGACTTGCTTCAGATTCTTGAAAGTATTTAAACCTTTTATCTAAAGACTTCTTTAATACTTCAATTGATATAGCATAGCTAACCCTAACCCTAAATGTGGCTTTCTGATTCTATAATTGGATTCACTTATTTTCCTTTTCCATCTTTCCAAGTATTACTAAAAGTATAAAAGAACAGACAGAGATAAAATACACAAATCATTGTTACCAAATAACCTGTTTATTTCATTGAGATAATGAATTCAATTATCAACATAATGCCTTGGTACCCACGCCACAAATATGCCTCCACAAAATCCACGAGTGCACAATATTGTTAATACGGTGAGTATATAAAATACGGTCACTCTTACTTGAACTCGAGAGTACAAACAAGAATCTAACTTGACGTCCATTGTCTGAATATATCATAAATGACAACTTCTATAGCGATAGATGTAACATTCACAATGTTGTTAGCTTATGGCATGTTAAAACTTGTTCAGTGATTGATTTCCCATATCGAAAACTATCAGGTCGGCATACTTGTTAAAAAGGGCGGTAGCTCAGTGTTCATTTCTAGCAGTAGAGACTATAAAAAGAAAGCACTTGTTATATCTGAGCCTAATGGTAAACATTATCGTGTCTATATCTTCAAATTGTAAATATCGGAGACGACGATGTAAGAAAAGTTTTCGGCAAAATTCCAATTTGTCTGTCGGACATAAGGCAGAGTAGTGACACAGTTCTGCTACATTAAAAACTACACATACAGAGGAATAAAAACGTTTAAGAAAACAATAAAAACTTGCAAAAACAATTAACATTGAACAGATTCAAGCTTGACAATGGAGCCCTGGATTCTTGCAGGTGTTGTAGCATTGTCAAGCAGCAGTGTGTCCATGTCGTTACTGCTCTTTATTCCTCTTTCTCCACTCGTAAACCTGTTTCAACAATTCATTCCGGCTGTTTGCTGTTGTCGAATCTCCAGCCAAAGTTCAATATCCCTTCCCAAAGTTAAGTGTAAACAGTTCAGCCATTAAGACCACCTTCAATTATAAATCACTAAGGGGGGAGAAAAGAAAAGTAAAAAAAAGAAACGTAGAAAGGATTCTCCCGAGCTCCCACAAGTCCATCATTAGGACACGGAGGAGATGGGGTTGAGAGGCGAGCCCATCTGTGTGAGCACCTTGTCGAGCCACTGGAGGGGCCCGTGCAGGTGCACCTCGATCCAGCAGGGGGTGCTGGTGACGTCCTGTCGGTGATACTCGGCCCCCCAGCCCTGAGGGGAGGCAGAGGAAATTAAAGAAAGGGTTCATATAAAGTAATATTCAAGCTCTTTCAAGGCGCATAAACCAAGAATGACTGGACTTCATTACATTAAATTGTTACTATTAATTTAATTAAGTCTTCAGATAATGATTATTTTCAAATGGCAATAATTCTTTCTTAACAATATCCATAAGCAGTTTTGCCTCATAAATGTCAGATATTTGAAAAAAAAAGTCTTCCAATTTTTTCTGGAAGAAATCAGGAAAAAAAATCATTAAAGAAAGCTTGAATGAAAACATTTAAAACATGTTTTCCTTAAAAAATGCATTACTACAACTAATGAAGCTCAGCGTAAGTTCAACCAGGAAGATTCACTATTCCTACGTAACTACTCTCTCCTCTCAATAAGTGATCGGCTTAACCAATCACTTCGCTCTATTCCCAAGAGCCTATCATAGCGCTCTGCCAAACCTTTTAAGTCTGCTCTCCCCCCTCTGACAGCTGTCATTTCAGATGACTCTACGCAACCCTCCTCCACCCCTTTTCACCTCCCGTCCCTCTGAATCCAGGGTCAAGCTAAACCACTCCTCTTCAGACCGAACCCAACCATCTATTCACCACCACCAGTGTCTAGACCCCAGGGGGGTTTCATCGGATCGGTTCTACCCTCCCAAATGATACTTCCTGCACAACGGGGCCTAATCGCCAAAATCACCATTACATTCATTTGTGTATCTTTGCAATAAATATGTATTCTTACATCAAAACCGTCTCTCCTGATTGAAATTGATTCATCTTTGCAGTGCTCAACGCAATTGCAAAAACATTGACATAATTCCTTTAATACCTGCAACAATCAAACTGTTTTACCTAGTTCACATTATCAGCTGTTCATATTAACTTTGATTTGGTGATAGAAGGCAGGAGACAAAACAATTCAACAGGACTGTTTCAATTCAAATAAAAAAAACATATTTAAGTTTATATAAGAAATACTACATTATGATAAAAATCAACTATTTGAACAAGGAGTAAATATATCAAAATCTAGCCTATTTTTTACAATTTAAACACAATGGTTAAAATAAGACATTTTCCAAAATGTGGAAACTTTGAGTGAAGCTTTTTAACAACAGTGCCACCGATAATCACGATGTTTGTCGCAACATGATATTTGATGTTTGTGAGGAAGTTTGCTAGAAAAAAAACCTGTGCCTCCCTGAGTTCCTGAGGGCCTCACCTTGACGAAGCTCATTCTAATGGTACACATCTTGGTTAGCTCGTAGACGGCCTCGAAGCCGTGGTTGACCGACTGGGCCAGCAGCTGAGCGAACTCCTGGTTGTTGAAGATCTTGAGGCTGCATCCACTGGGGATCTTGCAGACGGTGGTGGGGTGGAAGCCGTGGTGGTAGTTACAGTTACGGCTCTGGACAAAGATGCTGGTGTCGCTGAGGCACTCTGCGTACACTTCCCCGCCCACGTAGTACAGGTGAACCCCTGGATAACAGAGACAGACATAAGAGGGGTCAGGATATTCACACAGTTTCTCTTCTGTTGAACCAGAACCCAGTTTGTGTTGGGGGGGAAAGACACCCTCTTCACATTTAAGATTAGGCTTAAGACTTTCCTTTTTGATAAAGCTTATAGGGCTGGTTCAAGGTAAGCCTGAGCAAGCCCCTAGTCCTGCTGCTTTAGACTGAAGACTGTCGGTGGACCCTTACCTATCACTTTTCACCACTTTTCTCCTACTTCTCATTCTCTTGAGCTGTATGCATTCTTGTCTCATTCATTTTTTTTTCAGCTGCACCTTAAGATTTTTGACATCCTCCTGAATATTTTCATATACTTTAATGTTATAATTGTTGCCACATGAATTGTTTATATTGTCATTTTATTATCTTTTTTTAATCCATAGAACAACATCTCTAGCACGTGCTTTTGTTATATCAGGCTATTTAAATGAAATTTGATCTAATGAACACTTGATCAACTGGCTCCGTAGCCGTTAGTCGATATTCGTACCTTTGCCGATGTGCCTGCGGGTGTTCTCGATGGTGGAGTTGCGGTTGACGTTGGACAGCAGTCCGAGGCAGAAGCGGTTCTTGTTGTTTGAAGGGTCAGTGAAGCCGTCCACCAGCACGCTGGTCGACGAGGCGTGATAAGCCTCACCCACTCGATTGTTGAGTTCGTAATAGACGATAGAGCACCAGTGGCTCGGCTCCTCGTACTCCACCGGCTGCACGTCTGGGACAGGTGAGATAAGAACAGGAGAGTCAAAAACTTGGCTGAGGACATCGTCACACAGATATCTACTAGAAGGTATTAGACATGAGATGTATATCTTACAGAAAAAAGTAATAGATAGAGGATGAATTGTGGCAGCGTGGGACTTTGAACTGTCACTATGGGTCTATTATTACCACAAGGCTCCTACCTTAAAGGGGACCTATCATGCAAAATGCACTTTTGTACGTCTTTTATACATGAATATGTGTCCCCGGTGTTCCAGGGAACTCACCAAGTGTCAGAAAACACAACCCTCTCTATTTTCCTCCATACCCAAATCTCTAAAAAAGGGGCTGCAACGGATCTGATACAGACTGATCCAGATTTGAACACTTCTATGACGTCACAGAAGTGGCGCTACGGCTATTGGGCCAACTCTCCACCTATCAGGGGAATGTGGGGTTGGGCCACGGCCGGCCATTGCTGCTCGAAAGCGCTGGAGACGCTGTAGTACATATGCCAGGCCTGTAAGTGGCGCTGTAGTCTGCCACAAAAGCAGCGAAGAAGACTTCCCGCCCATAGTTACCATGGTTACCCTTCTGTTTATTCTCCGCTGTGGCTTTTTTTCTCCCTCCCCGAGGCAAGCGTTTGCTCCCGCTGCTTTAATTCAATGCAATCCCTCCCCGTCGAGGCAAGCACTGTAATTCTCTCCGGTTAGTCCACCAGCAGATGACAAACACCCACCTCTCCGCCTCTTCCAAGGAACGAGGGGACCGTGCGGCAGAGTTTCAGTTTCAGTTTCTTTCGCCGGTCAAGATGTCCGTTAAAGTTTAAATCTTCCGAACAAAATTTGAAAAGTGCCGGTCAAAGGTCTTCTTTGTTATTTATTGAGCTTTAAAACAAATGAATAACGACTCTATATAATAAAACACGGAGGACGGAGATCTCTTTTTCTCCCCCTCTTCTGACAGCCCAGCAGCTGATCTGAGCACGTCTCCCCTCTCCTGCAGGGGGGCGTGGTCAGCAGAATCAGACCCGTAGACAGCAAACAGCACATAGAGTGAAATGAGGCATGGCTAAAATGCATGATCTGTTTGGTATTTTGAAAACAGAAACGTATAAATATACCTTATATAGGTATGGCCCTACAATATATCATTTAAATATAGCATGATAGGTCCACTTTAAGACGTACTAAAGCTCATCAAGACTATTTGAACGGGATTCATTAATTAACAACGGATTAACGTAGTACACGGCAACTATTGTGACCGGAAGTATATAATTCAGTGCAAAAAAACTATTTAATTGGAGATGATGAAATCCTCAAATAATTTTTGTACAAAATTAGAAATTGTATTGTCAATTTTTCAGTTGTACAGCACTGTGACCTGAATGCTTTTGCAGAAGAATAGGGCAGTTCAAAACAAAAGTCTGGCTTAATTTTTACAGGAATGCATCATCATGAATAGTGTCTGGAATTCAGATGCACTAACAAATATGCTGAGACTAAGGGGAACATTTTTACAGCAATTTTCCAGCGCAGTCAAGTCGTGCCTTCAGTAAGTGGTCTTTGACTTCCATAAACCTTCAAAATGTACTTCCTGGTTGGTATTTCACCCGCAGTAATATTATCACTGTAGTGCCATTGTCTCATAATGCGTTTGTCCTTACCTCCTCTGGGCATGTTAGGGGCCACCAGGGGGCTGCTCGTCTCCATGGACTGGCTCTCCTGGCCCAGCTGCTCGTCGGGGGGCATGTAGGCGGGGGGTGGGGTGTCAGCTGAGACATTAAGAGACCAGTTAGCGAGGATGAGACCAGTTGTTGCAGCTGGCACACACACACACACACTCACACACTCAGAAACACACATTTCCCCAGACTTGGACAATCATCACAGGATATGTACCCCGGATATGGTGTCACATTTCACATCGCCCTCACTTGTTAAGCCACATGCTAACCCATTCCCAACAGAGATGCAACACGAGCTTCCAGAGCCAATATTCAGGCCCAAAGGAAATAACAATACAGTAAACCTCCACTTAGATTACAAGTGGGGAAATGTCACTGATTTAGATGATTAATACACATCAGGGGATTTAAGGCGAGACCCTACATTTGAATAGTGTAATTTTTTTTAACTTAAAGATATCAGCTAGACATTTATCCAGTTAATTACTTACATTAAGACAATTGTTTTTTGTATTACAAGTTTTATGAAATAGCATGTTTAAATATGCAAATGAGCCATAATCTCATTAAATATGCACATATTTTAATACATTTCAGGAACACAATTCTGAACATTGGATAAAGCCAGGTTCAAAATTCTTATTTCATTTTGTAGTCATATTAGAATATAAAGTTTTTACAGAAGGGATTTTGGATATCTCTTTTTATCAAATCAGAAAATACTGTCAACAGCCCTAAAATATCAATTTTCGCCATGTTTTTAGGTATAAAATGTTATATAATTCAGGCTATGAATGATGTATGAACAAACCCTTCTGTAAAAACCTTCAGAATATTGATAGGAATAAAACTGGAAGGTTTGGTGTATGCAAGTCAGGGGTGGGGACTTTTTTCCTCTCAAGGGCCATTTCAATTTTTTCAACATCCTCCGAGGGCCGTACAAATTATTGACCTCTGCTTAAAAATACTAAAATCACAGCCCAAAATCTTAAATTGTTCTAAAAACATTTTCAGCACATCTGATTGAAGCCACCGGATGTGATAGCAGATCTGGACTAAAGCAGAATAAAGCGCTATTCACCAGACAAAGAGCAACATCCACACCCTTAAACCTCAACTACAATTCTAATAAAGTGGTGCAGGAATGAGTCTCGAACCTGAATACGAGTTGGCATTTTGCACTTCCGGGTTCCCTTGTCTCGAAATCAATAGTTTTTGAATTGATTTTTGGTTAGATTTCCGAAATAAGGTCAGTGGTTAACACAAGCTGACAAAATATTCATGTCAGTGGATGCCCCACAGGTTAACATCTGACGCTTTTACTCATCTTCAAAAAGGCGGTTGCTAATAAGTGACTAAATAAGACTATTGAACATCATAACGCCAAACATTAGCCGCCTTTCGCTTAGCAGTGGTGATGTGAAGTTAACAATTTTTAAAGTGGGGTCAATATGTGGAGATTATCCTCCTGAACAAAACGTGTAAGAATTAAAAACGTACGTTAGCCATAGAGCTTATTTTTTTGCAATATTTCAAAATCGAATTGGCTTTTTGTTGAGGTAGCCCTTGAAATGCTAACTTCCGTGTCGGCCTACAAAAATACAATAGTCAAAAAGTATTACTCCAATCAATCAAGACTACTGAACATGACAGAGAGGAGTGTCTCAGTGAAGCGATATTTCTTCATGCTAGACGTGTCTGTTCTGTCTCCGGTCAGTGACATGAAACAGAGGAGGCCTGCTCCGCTGAGTTAGCGCCTTGACAGCAGCCAGCAGCCCTGGCTCTGCTGAACAATGCTTAGCTGGCATTTCCTTTGTTCTGATTCAGGGTTCAGCTTTATTTGGATTAATAAAATAACTTGACCCGGTAAAACTTTTTCGCCTACTGATAAAGTTATCATGCATGGGTTTAAACTAGGGCTGTACCAAAATGTTTGAGGCTTCATTTGATACAGTTCAAAGCTGGTATGTCTGCAGAGTTGCAGATATTTCACTTATGCGATTAACACTGGTATATGGTTTGTGGTATTCCAGGAGTGACTGCATAGGATTGTTTTCATTCAAAAATAAACTCCAAGCAAAATAACTCCAAAGTTAAGATGAATTGATTGATCTAATAACATTTTCAGAATGCAGATGATATTATTTAACCAAAATTCTGCTTCAATTCATATTAGTTGTCATTGAGCCATTCAAAAACAACTCTCACTGGGATCAGAAAAACGGTACGCTCTCCTGGTTGCAACCCAAAGAGAAGCACGCACTGAGTTATATTATAAAACACAAACAAGTGACCTTCTCAATCAGTGCGATTCATCACTTCATTTCAAGTGAGGATTAATAGGGGACATCCTAAAATAAGACGGCAGACATTCAAAGCGTCACTAGAAAAACCAGAACAGGAGCTTTGACGGTAAGAAAAGTGACATTGGGTAAAGCCCTTTTTACAGCTATTTGTAATTCAAAATGGAATTGTCTGACATTGTAGTACACAATGAAAATGACACTTCAATGTACTGCATTGTATTTAGAAAATTAAATGCATGTCAAAAATGATTTTAATCTGGTTTTCTGATCCAATTCGATTGTGACCAACACTGTCATTTTTCCCTTTACATTAAACACCTTAACAAATGTAAATAAAACCAGACACTCTTGTTTTTTAACAGTTCTTGAGGGACACTTGACAGCAACAATCCAGAAAAACAACACAACAGTTTGGCCCCTCACCCAGGGCCAGGTACATAGAGAGTGTGTGTGTCGTACCTGGGAGCTGGAATGGACTGGAGGGCCCCGAGCTGGCCGGAGAGTTTGGATAAGTACCGCTGCTGGCTGGGGACGAGGGATACGGAGAGTTGGGCGAGATTGGAAAAGAACCACCTCCACCGCCTCCCCCCACACCTCCGCCCCCGCTGCTGCTGCCGCCCCCGCTGTGGGGCTGCTGGAAGGACTCTGGAAAGGTGGCGTTCAGGGGCATGTGCGGCTCGTTGTGGGTGAGGTTACGGAACTGTACCAGCAGGCTGTGCTGCGGGTTGAACTCGCTGTGCCGCGGTACCAGGACCGGAGGGAGCACTGATGGAGGAACAGGGGGGGGGGGGGGGGGGAGGACATGAGTTTGGCGTAAGAAATTAATGAAGCCCAGACAACTGGAACAACTGTGTCACAAAACCCAATTTCCCCCCAGATAAATAACGTTTTCTGATTGAATCTCAACCCGTTTTGAAGCCGTTTGACATAAATTACATAACATGACCAAACAGCAACAACTCTGAATTCCTCAAAAGCCACTTTAGACCTTGGTAAAGATACAACAGAGGTCATTCACATTTATTTCCATTCTCGACTTCATGTAGCGGATAGAGTGCTTCTTGATTATCATCTCCTAAGTGACTTTAAACATCACGACTCCAAGGCTGTCCCTCCAAAAGCTACCCAATGAGCTTTGCTTTTCAGCCTCTCCTGACTGACATGTGATCCATATCATCGGACTGGTCAATACAGAGCTGGCAGTCCCAGAGCAGTGTAATGTCAGAGCGGCTGTCCCCTCAGGGTCACCCGTTAGTGTGTGTGAGGGACTGGGAGAGAAGGAGGAAGAGAAGGGCTAGTGATGAGAAAGTGCTAGAAGTTTGGTCTGAGTGCTTTATGCATTTAGTGATCCACTCTCCGATGCCACACCCCATCTGGAGTGCCTGAGGCATATAATCTAATAAGATCCTAAAAGAGCTAGTGATATTGATTTTCTGTGAAATGTACGGGGGCGGGTGGAACGGCCCGTGTGATGACAGCCTCCTGACCTCTGTGGATTTGTTTACCGGCTACAGTTTGCTCAGAGATATAACGCAGGGATGTGCACAGCTCTACGCTGGTCTAATCTGTCACATATGTTACGTCTAATATGTTTGGAAATGGAAATGACTGAAATATTGAATACACTTTTTGTGTTAAACATTAGTGTCCAGCACAAAAAAGTTAAAGACAAGTTGATATCTGTAGTCCACTATCAGTAGTAAAGTATGAGTACATACCAGGACTCTCCACTCTCTTGTAGTGGTACGGGTTGATGCAGACCTCCTTCTGCTTGGAGCCAAACGGGTACTCGCACACCTCCAGGGGCTTAAGCTCGTGGTGCGACTGCAGGTCGGGCCAGCGCCACACTCGGCAGTAGATAACGTGTGGCAGGCCTTTCCTGTGGGACACCTGCAGGCGGCCGTCCAGCGATCTGGGAATGGTGACGCACTTGCTGGTCTGCCCGGGACAACTCAGAGCCTTCTCCAGGTCCTCCATGGCGCCCTTCTTCTTTTTCAGCTTTTTCACCAGCGCGTCCACCGCCTTCTCTGCCCATTTCTCCTCCTCGTCGCCCTGCTTCCAGCCGAGCAGGCGTTTGACAGCTGGGCTCGTGAAGGAGAAGAGACTGGACATGGAGGTCATAATGGATGATGCAGTGTAGGTAGAAAAAAGGGGGAGGACCAATGGGGAGTCTAGGAGTCCCCTGTTGATGTTCTCCGATTAGCGTTTGTAGCCTAAAACGTGTGTTTAACAAGAGAAACCACTTCAGTGTGTGTGACAGGCCAGCAGAGCTGAGGGGTGGGGTAGGGGAGAGGAGGCTGTAGCCTTGTCTGACCAAGGACAGGAAGCAGGGGAGGGAGGGGAGTCAGCAAGCAGGACGCAGCTGCTGCTGCTCAGGAAGGGCCCTGCAGCAAGCGGTCCGAAGTTGGGTCACCACCACTGATGGAGGGGGGGGGGGGGGGGGGGGGGGGGTGCAGCCTGCAGGGGCTCAGATCAGGACCTCTGTCCAACTGAAAAGCAGGTCTCACCGGTGCAAGACGACTGGCTGAGAAATGAGGAAGACGCTGCTTATTAACAACAACTCTCTGCTCCTCTTCAGTCCAGATTGACTTCTCCAACCAGTCCACAAGCCTTCTGCAAAAGAGAAAAGAGACACATGTAATGCTTGGCGACTCACTCAATTATTTGCCATTACATCAACACTGTAGATAAACAAGCCCATTTTCCTGACTTTTGTAAATATATAAATCACAATACAATTTTTTTTTTAAATCCAACTATGAATAAAGTCTGAACCTCAGCTGAACAGTAGGATGATCAAAAAGCACTCAGATAAATGTGTCATCTCAAATTCCAGCAGGACTGATAGGTGTTAAGTGTCGCATGCCGAACTTGTCATGTATATGAAAAGACAGTCTTACAACTAAACAAATGGCCCCCCATCAGCATGTAAATGCTGGTAAGTATGCCCACCATACAGCACGTAATATCATGAAAGATAAGAATCAGAATCCATCATTTTCCTCAGCATACAAATATTTGTAACCACGTTTAAGAGCTAGTTAAACAATGCTTAAAGTGTGGGCTAAGATATTTATTTAGTATAGATCCACATGAAATAAATCACACCATAATCGTTTTAATACATGTTATTTGTTCAAGTTTTGCAAACGCTTAGTACTCAGACATTAAAATACATTACAAATTCAAAAAGGTGTTAGAAACAAATAAAGCCCCTTTCTTTTTCTATAGCTTAATATTATTATTATTACAGCATGATCGTTATCTCTTTTATCCATTTCTACATTGCAGAACCACATGTGAAAGAATGAACGATGAGTGAATAATAACCGTAAAAATGTATGTAGTATTGCTTTAGGATGATTGCCACAAAGTTAACACCAACTGATGTAGGGACATGAAATGTTTCAAACCATCTTCCTGATGCATAACTGCGCTAAATGAAATGCTGTGATATCTGACACTCCTGTCCATATCATGCAGCACAGACAGCAGACAATCAAACACATGTAGCCTGCAGCAGCTGTTTGGGGGCTTGTGAAAATGGCCTTAGTCAAAAAGGATGTGACCACAAAGAGCTGCTTCCTCCCTCAGCCCATCTCTGCCCGATCCCTCCCTTCCAGCACACAGCTGTCCAACACCACTGCACCCACTTCCACTGCTCATTGTTCCACAGGCACATGAAAGTGGAGGGAAACCTCCTAAAGACTCATGTTGGCACAAATAATGACCAGCCTGTGCGCTTTTCAGACATTCATCAGATAATGTTCCAGCAGCTGTTTCCACACATCCTGATCAGTCAGAGATCTGGATGCAGTCAGGCCTCTTTTAGATCAGCAGTGATTCATCAGTTCATTGTATAAGGGTGAGCAATGCCAAATAATAGATTTCAACATAAGAACGTGTCCTATCTTCCTGAAACGAGCAGGAACATATTGTTTGGTGAACAGGTCATAGATCTTACCTGCCTGAGTTGACGCTGTATAAAGGCTGATTTGCATCTAAATGACTAATCCTTCAGATAAAGCTTTTACAAACTGATAATCACACTGATAGCTCTTTGTGTGTCCGCCATCAATGACATCAAAAGGCTGAAATGAACACACTTTCACATTTTGAAAGAGAATTTGGGGGGGAAACTGTAACCCAGGATTTACAGATGAAAGATGGTTTATGATCCTTATCTTCAGAATGACTGAGAATATGGGTTATATAAATGTGTATCTAAGAAAAGATACCTACATATTTTTGATATGACTGTTTTCTAAAAGAGAGGCAATTGTTTTCCTACTATCGATGGCCAATGTTCATATATATTTTAACAGATGGCACAGTATACTCTCAGTAGAAGATAACATGCCTTAAAAACATTTTAGAAAACCATGTGATATCATTCATACTTTAGAATCAATACTCATCTGAAGCTCTTTCCAAAAACCAGAACTACTCCATAAAAAGTGAAAAAAACAAGTCAACTGTAAATTGTAAACAACAAAATCTCTGTTAAAAATGGCCTGCGTATGAAGCTGTTTATCACAGTCTTTTCCCATGTAAGTTAAAGTAACGCTTTAATTCTCGCCTACAGAACACGTAACATTGGGAAGAATTTCCCACACAATCATAACTGTGTGTGTGAGATCTGCCTGAAATGCTTGACATGTATGAAGTACAGGACACAGACAATATGGAAGAACGATCCGGTGAGTAGTGAGCACCCCCCACCCAGAGAAAGGGAGAAAGAGATTCAGAAACATCTAGCGTTACACAAATCCCCAAACAGCAGTAAAAATAGCTTTTAGTGCTGCTCTGATTTAAATGTAGCACAAAAGTAAGCACAGTCATAACATAATACATTATTCCAGTGCTGTTAGCTTACCCTGGTATGTAGCAAGCTAATGCAAGTAATTTGCTAACTAGCTTAGCTAACAGTACACAACTTGTTTAGCTTACATTTACAGTCAGACACCTCTAATAACAACTGACAACTTTAACTATCTAGTTTACCACTTTAGGACGCTGTTTCCTCTTTAAAACAAGACTTTTGGAGCCATAGTTTTTTTACCTCGTAACGGTTAGCCGAAGTTACTTCACCCTTCCTCCTCTTCCTCCATTCCAGAAACTTTTTTGAACTCCTCACAACTGAGGCTAATGCTAAGCTAGCTGTTAGCCCAGCCCTCCTCTGCCCAGCGTATCCTGCTGATGCAGCTCACTGGAGTTCACTTTTAATGAAACAATTGGCTTAGTAACATACCTCTCAACAGAACCCCATGAGAGCCATGGCAAAGCGTTTTCGTGTCACGTTAAGAGTGCAGTTGCTACTCGCTTAAATATTTCCTCTCGTTTTCCAGCGTTTCTTCTCTCCGTCTCCCCGTGCCATGTCCTCCAGATCCTGGACACAAGTAGAATGGTGAGGCGGAGTGCATATCACTCCGCTTTACTGATAAACTAGGGCTCGCTTTAGCGTTACAGCTGAGGAGATTTCGGTTCCAAATTGTATCAAACAAACCACCATAATATAAACCATAACTAATATATAATATTGGTTTCCAAAAATAGGTTAACGGCTAACTGTTCGTAACACGTTTTCATTGCACAGAGATTAAGTGAATGTGAACAAACTTGTTCCGCCTTTGCCAGATAATTATGGTCATAAGCGTCCAATATAATACCAGCAGCACACCCTAAAACTGCAACACAATAACGTGTTTAAAAAAAAAATACGTTAATGATGTTAAAGTTGTAGTTCTTACAGTGGTCGTGCTGCGGCTCTGGGACGTCTCACAAGTTGCTGGCTCCACTCAGTCTGGAGCACTGCGGTTTGTTGTGTATTGTAGTCCTTTGTAGTCACTTGTTCCAACCTTTTACAGTCCTCGCGCCATAGACTAATATAACTTTATTTAAAAATAATAATAATCCCCATTGCACACTAATATATGTGGACCAGCAGCCTCTACTCTCTCTGCAGGATAATGTTGGGAGTGCGGATTCCTCATTCAGTCTTCAGGTCAAAATGAAAGGCGATGTACGTGTTCAACCACTAGTGGGCGACCTACACCAGGATCTGGGTTGTTCAAGGTGTATTTCATAGACTTTATGAAGGTATTTTACCAAAACAGACTTCCGTTCAATTTACACAACTTTATCAGTGGTGTAAAAGTACTAATAACACACTGTAAAAATACTTAGTTAATTGAAGTTAAAGTACTGAAACCATATTTTAAAGCAAAAGCAGTACATCTTCACATTTAAGAAGCTAGGTGAAATATTTTCGAACAAAAAACTTCTTGGCAAAATTGCTGCCAATCAATTTTCTGCAGTGGAGTAAAAATTACAAAATTTTCTTCCAAAATGTAGTAGGGTAAAAGTATCAAATGAAAATACTCAGGTAAAGTACAAGTTCCTCAAATGTGTACTTAAGTGTTAATAATAATTCATTAGATTTATTTTTGCGATTTTCCAAGTGCTCAAAGCGCTTTTACATTACAAATGACAAATATCAGACATGTAATACATCAATACTAAGAACCTCACTTGAGTAAATGTACTTAGTTCATTTCCACCACTGCAGTTAAGCCACCTATTGTTTCTGCTTTGACAATCTTAGTTGTCATTTAAATTGATTTTAAAGGTATATTATTGCCACAAGTTTTATTAAAGAAAAATACAAACGTATTACCAGAAGCAATATATTTCGTGAAATATAAACCACCCATAAAATACTGTCATCCAATAATTTATGTTTACTGTAACAGTCAACATTTTCTACTTGTCCATCCATGCAATTTACAAAATGTCAAACCTGGAAACTAAATTGAGTTTTATTCTGATAATGCCTCCCTTGCCTTCTGAAATGTTCATCATCCAAATATAATATTGAAGACCGTTATCGCCTATATGATGAGGGGGGGAGTATGTGAGAGAGAAACTCCCTCCGGAGGGAACAAAGGGATTTTGCAGGCCATTTACACAGAAACCTTTGTCTCTATAGGGCAACTACACATCGGCGTTGACAAATATGACATGTGGGGTTCCTCAAGGCTCCATCTTAGGACCACTGCTTTTTAATATGTATATGCTACCACTGGCTCAAATAATGAAAAACAACGACCTTAGTTATCATATCTATGCGGATGACACACAAGTTTATATAAAAATGTCACCAGGAGACTATTCTCCGATTACAACATTGAGTAAGTGCATTGAGCACATCAATGACTGGATGAGTAGGAACTTTCTCAAATTGAACAAAAAGACAACTGAGATTAGGGCTGCACGATATATCGTGTTGTGACGATAATCGCGATATTCACAGGACGTGCGATTTAATAAAAAAAATAATTTTTTTTTTTTTTTTTTTTTAGGACTTGCGATATTAAGTAGGCAAATTAACTCAAACACGTCATGTTACAATTATTTTGCTGCTTGCTACAAAAGGAAAACTTGCGCGACTCTCATGTCAGGGGTACTTGAGTGAGTGGCATGCAGGCTCTGCATGCACAGCAAACCACCAATCACAATCAAATCTCCAAAGCAAACGGACCCTGTGATTAAAGGTAAAAACACTGAATAAAGTAGTTTCATGTGTTTCTCCAGGGCAGTTCGGCGCTGCTAACCGAGCTAGCTCAGCTTGATGCTCTAATAACTTAAGATCCAGACGTCCGTGACTAAAATCCTTCATCCGGTTAAATATAGTTAAAAAAATACCAATTGTATAGCATTAAAGTTCAAGAAAGGATGGTTTGCGGGGGAAAAAACGGCCTTTTCTTCAATTCCTGTATGTTTTCATATCGCAATATATATCGCAGGGGGGACAAAATCGCAATGTCAGTTTTTTCCAATATCGTGCAGCCCTAACTGAGATTATTGTTTTTGGAGCAAAGGAGGAACGATTAAAAGTAATCGCAGAGCTTCAGTCGGCAGACTTCAAAACAACGAATAAAGCAAGAAATCTCGGTGTAGTGATGGACTCCGACATGAATTTTAACAGTCACATTACAACAGTTATTAAGTCTGCATACTATCACTTTAAGAACATATCTAGGATTAAAAGACTAATGTCACAACAGGATTTAGAAAAGCTTGTCCATGCTTTTATCTTCAGCAGACTCGACTACTGCAATGGTGTCTTCACAGGTATCACAAAAAAATCTATTAGAAATCTGCAGCTGATTCAGAACGCTGCTGCTCGAGTCCTCACTAACACTAAAAAAGTGGATCACATCACTCCTGTTCTGAAGTCTTTACACTGGCTTCCAGTCTGCCAAAGAATTGATTTTAAAGTACTATTGCTGGTTTTTAAAGCACTGAATGGTTTAGGACCAAATTATATTTACGATCTCCTGCAGAAGTACAGTATGAACCGTCCAGGAGTCTCAGGTCTTCTGGGACGGGGCTGCTGTCTGTTACAAGAGTCAGAACTAAACATGGAGAAGCAGCGTTTAGTTTCTATGCCCCGACAATCTGGAACAAACTCCCTGAATCCTGCAGGTCCGCTGCAACTGTTGATACTTTTAAATCCAGACTAAAAACGTATCTTTTTGACGCTGCATTTGAGTGAGTTGTTCATATTCACACTGCAGTATGGCTTTTATTCATGTGTTTTATATCTGTTGTTTATTTTTATTATCTTTGCTTTTTAAATGCCATTTTATAATGTGCTTCTACTGTATTTATTCTTAAATGTCTTTTATTTTATTTTGTAAAGCACTTTGAATTGCCGTGTGCTGAAAGGTGCTATATAAATAAACTTGCCTTCTAACACAAAGGAAAGGGAAAACACCAAAGAGCATAATACGGACCTTTTGTGAATCATACAAATGAGCTGAAACCGTGAATAAAGATACTATAACCAACTTTAATAAAACATGATAAGCTGTACAGAGTAAATAGGCTTTGGTGCATGATCTTACAGTGTTTCATCAGTATAGATTTCTTTAAAGGGATTTGGACCCTTGAAAATGTTCAGAGATGAAACAAAACACAAAGTAACACAGTGGAATATAAATGAAAGACAGCCCCATATTTTTTTTAACATGTATTGTAGATTATTTAATGTGTATTCTGATGAACTTGTACATATTTTTGCGATGCTTTTTGAAGTTCTCTAAAATCGCCTTTAACTTTGGTTTGTCACTCTTGAGTTTTGTACTTTGTCCTTTTTAAGGCGATATTTCACACTGGCTAAAAGTTAGAATTAGCTGTGCTTCATCTCAAATTGTATTTGGTCATTACACTGTAGGTGTTGCAAGATGCATTTTTTCTATATTTGATTTCAGGCTCAGTGTGACAAGGAATGTAAACGTACAGAAAAGTTACAGTGATTAATCAGAAATAATGTTATCACACCAAAAGTCAATGTGTTCAACATTTCTTAAATGACACACTCAAATAAAAAAAAATAAAAATCAACTTGGTCTTGTCTACACACTTCAAACAGCAGTGCCCATTCCTCGGATCAGTTTTCTCCTCACACACACACACAATACAAATCATTTCAGTGAAAGTTTTCTAAGAGATAACACCAAAATCAAAAATCAGAGTGCAATCAGTGAACTACCTTTGATTCAAACAGGTTAAATAATCAACGTGAAGCACAAACGTCTGCGAAGGTCTAAGCACAGGAAGTAGATTCATGTATACAGCAGATTCCTCGGGAGAGCAGCATTATATCTATTCATATTATTATTACGTCACATTTTGAATGTTTCCTGACCTCTATCTTTTCACATTATCTCCACAAAATATTGCTTTAATTATAAACGATAAATGATTTCATATCAAATTAAATAATTTGAACACATTTTGAACAACTAATGCCAGAAACCAATCAGAAATCAACAGCAATTGTTCTAAGCTGGTACATTTGTTCCACATGTGTTGTACATTCTGCAGCTATTCCTCTGTATATCAGAATAATTATCCACAATAACAAAAAGATACAGTTGAAGAGAATTACTGGAATTAAGATGAGATGTAAAAAAGGCCAGTTTAGATATTTATTTATTTCTGAAATAGGGAATTTATGCATATATGTAGAAGCATAAAAACACTGTCCTTAATAATCCATAATATATTATGTGTTGTGGCAATGATGTCGCTGTTCTGTGCTATTGTCTTTTAACTAAAAGAAAATGGTATAAAATGTTTTTTTGTTGGCAGATGTTATAAGAAATATGTATATTTAAAAACATAAAACCACTGTGCTTTTGACTGAAAATGGACAGTGAGAGTGTTTCTTTATTCTTGTGTACGCTGACCTGAATATTGCTAAATTTAATCAAATATGAAAGCCTTTGAATTTGAATGGGTGTCTCATACATTACGTACCATATTTGTTGATCTTCTACAGTTATCAGTTACGCAGTCTTACATTTGACGGGCCCCATATTGGCAATAATCCTCTGACTTTGTGACATCACAAACCCCAGGACTTATTTTAGTGGCTGCTTCTTTATGACATGCTCTGGCTTACCACCTTCAATTAAACAGTAACAAATTAAACAAAAAGTATAAATGTTGTGCAATAAATCAACAATTTAGTGATGATAATAACAAAACACCACCCCGAGCGACTGCAGAAACAATCTTGGGTACAGGCTTGAAATGTGGAAACAGTGGCTGTGCTATTACACTGCATCATCAACAGGATGCTGTAGTTTGTTGATGCTTTTTGTTTGTGTGTTTTTTTTACAAACCAAAAGTCAGGATAGTCTGCTGCTGCTAGCTCGTAGGGACGTAAACAACATGTTTTGTATTGGTAAGATATATAAACTTTTCCTAAAAACATATTTGCTGATATCACAATTTTCCATTCAGTTTAGGGGTCTGCATTCGATATGGGACAATATCATATACCTGTTTACCACAGTCAGTTTCTATTTACAATTGTGTGAATGGGCTCTTTTATGAAAATCTGATTTTTTATTTATTTAAAAAAACAAGGGCTTGTCTTATATGTATTAATGTTTTCACTTTGCGTGGATGATAACAGATCATTAAACACTGAATGATCCAGATCAATGTTTTGTTAGAGCCCTACTAAACAGTTAGGATAGTTCAAATGCAGAGACATGCTCATGCTGGGCTTTAAAAAAGAACAGGAATAACTTACATCAAGTGAAATGTGTAGTTTCCGTCAGTGATTAAAACACACAGCGTTTTTTATTCCTCGAGTATGTTGGAGTATTTTCTGTATTATTGCCTGGGCACTGTCATGTGCATTTTAAATAATAATCAGGGTTTGTTTTATCAAAGCGCGTTGAAAAAACGTTGGTGCATCTCTTTGTTGTCGTCAATTAAAACGTTTTTGCTTGCTACTTTCACCTTGTGTTGTGTGCCGTAAACTCCTCGGGTTGAAATCATTTCCAATGCTGGATTATCGAAACTGTACCCCACTGTAGCTAAAATAATCTAACTTTAAACCGCCTTGAGGTAAATTTGTGTGGCACTTGAGATTTCAGATAAGTCGTTTCTTTTTATTTTAACTGTATAATTAACTATGTGTTTAAGGATCAAGGTTTCTGTTGAGCTGCATTCACTTGATACACAATTTTCTCTTTGCTCAACACGAGGTTCGGGCGCAGAGCCTTGCTGTGAAAACAGCGAGTTTAGATTAGTTACTTATGATACCTCCCTGCTAGCTTGCACCGCTAAGCCGTTTTACCACGAATCATGTGAATGCAGCTTTAAGCTAACGTTAGCTGCCAGTTGCCTAGAATTTCTTTTTCACACAATGTCTCAAATTGTAATGGATGGTAACTGATCTGTTTAATTTACAATGCATATATGGTCGGCTAATATGGCAAATGAAGGCACTGAAAAAATGAGTATTTGATAAAGACATCACTACAGCGAACTGTAGTGAGTAGCGTGACGTATTCCTGCAGCGTCAGAGTCCAGAAATATGAAGAGTTTCCATTCGATGAGGCAGACGCTGGTGAGCTTGGACATAGAGAGGACAGAACAAACATCTCCTTTGGTGCTGAACACTATCTGTCCTGGAGGTCCAACTTGAGGCCGCGGTCCAACGCGTCCTCGGTGGGAGTGTCTAGGACGGGATTGACGAACCCTTCGAATTCAGTGTCTAAGCTGTCCTCTGGGAGCGTACTCACAAAATCGTTCTCCCACTCCAGTGCGTTGGAGTCCTCCGAGGTAGAGGTGGGCCCGCTGGTCACCTGCTTGCCCCCGGGCTTCAGGGCGGCGCGCAGGATGTCCTCCTCCGTCCGGGACCTCTCCCAGGCTGGAAGAGCACGATTGATTCCTGCAAAGAAAGGACGGCAGCTTTTCATTCTGACAGCAGAAGTCACTGAAGTCCAAAAATGGCAGCAGGCAGTAATCTGTTCCAACCTTTATATATATATATATATATACAGTCTATGGTTCCAACTCAACACTGTCCAAACCGAATTTGAAACTTAACCTTAGGTGCTGCAGAGAAGTACCAGCCAACCAACAAACTGTATTTTACAGATTTAATTAAAAAAAAAACTTGCTTGGTACAGTTAGTAAAAATCATAGAAATTGTAAAATAAAATGTTCAAACCACGGTCATTTGAATATATCTTTCAATGATAATGTGAATGATGTTTCAAAAATGATCATTCCCTCTCATATAACTTAGAGGCCATTTATGTACAGTATGTACGGGCTGTAGTGGATGCAACTACACTTCAATCAATTGATTTGTTGATGGGGGGAAATCTGCACCTTTTCCATGGTTACACAATGCACTACATTAATTCACGAGTTATTAAACAATATAAAAAGCTATTTGCAGCAAATTAAATGATTTTTAACCTTATTGAGTTACTGTGTTTTGTGATATTTGAACGATAACAGACTCAAAGCCAACCTGCCCAAATGATCATGATTTCAGAATATATACCAATAATATATACACATGTAATTTTTAATTAAAGAGCTTTTCAAGAAACTCAAAGACACTTAGAGTGTAAAAAACAAAAATTCCACCAATGCAAATTCTGGTTGTTTTTTTTAAACAGGGGGCACATGTTTTAATATAATGTGTATTTGAATAGGAAAAATGAACTATAAAATAAAAATAAATATTGTTTAAACATTTGCTCATTCATATGTATATAATATGATTATATATTTACATACATTTATAACTTTTGGACCACCTGACATATCAGGAGTGTATCAAGATGATTAGAAGAAACATAGTGGTGACCAAGAACAGCACAACACACTAAAACCCTGATGCTTGTATTCAATACTGTTTGTTTGCACTGAGCACAAACAGCTGCTCTGCCTCTCCCCCCCCCACTTTGCTGCAGTGTCATTGAAAACAGAATTGATCTCGGCTGAGAAATGACCAGAGCCCGGGTCTGGAGGCCGGGAGCGTTCTGTGATTGAACATCAGTCAAGATGTCACCAGAACCTTTGATGGATTAGTGATTTGCGACAGATGAAATGAATCCCTCACCTTCCTCGTCTTCCCACTCTAGATCCAGCGAGGTGCCGTCGTCGTTGGTGGAGCGCGTCTTGGTGGTGAAGTCCCAGCTATACTCAGTGTTGGGGGTCACTACGTTCGTGTCCGACGGCAGTCCTGGAAACAAAGAGTCAATTATTACAACAGGGAGTAATTCTGTCTTTCATAGGAACTAACAAACACCTTGTATTATATGAGCTAATATTACCAAGGCCAGGTGGGGCACTTACTGTTGCTCCTGAAGGCGTCCGACTGGGCCTTCACATGATGGAGGTAGACGTCAAAATCCCCAGGAGCCCTGGAATTGGCCATGACAACAATCAACACTTTATAACACAGCTTAATTGATAATTGATTCTAATTGGTCAATTTGGACATTCAGCGGTCTGCTCTTTCTGTACTTTCTGTTGAAGGACTATGTCGAACCCGGGTCCTCTACCAGGGGTTCCCAAACTTTTCAGCCCGCGACCTCCAAAATAACAGTGCCAGAGTGGCGACCCCTGTCAACGAGGGGGGGGGGGGTGCTAGTGAATAAATTAATTTATATACGTTTTCCGCACTTTCGCGGGAATATCTCCGCAATGGAGCGAGCTTAAGTTTCACTTTCGATTACATGATATAGCCCAGCGCAACACCTTCGTCACCATTTTTATTTTGTAATCATCTCGCGACCCCCACTCGGGGTCTCGCGACCCCCACTTTGGGAACCCCTAGACCCCCTGGAATACTTTTTGAGTTTTTTCATTTTTATATTTGTGGAGGGCAAAAAACTCTGGATTCATTATGGCTAAACAGACAGGAAGTAAACACTAACAGGAACACAGCAGTGGATCTGGCAGTATTTAAAGACTGGTTAATGGAAAAGAAAAATGACTTTTGACAGAGCAGAAAACCTTGATCAGTTTCAACTGTTGCTACGCAGTAAAAAGGCCCTTTTCTCTTAGCGGGAGCAACATGACATTTTTAAATCAATAAAATCCCATTTAAATTAATATGGTGTGTCAAATTATTGATTTCTTTAGTAAGTAGCTACACAAAAATGACGGGCTAGCTGCGTTTTAATCCTTACTTACTGTATAGTGCTTTAACTGGAGAAACAAATGACATGATTCAAAATAGATTTTCTGCTGAGATCTTAAAAAATAAATAGGTAAGACCCCTGTCTGCCAAACATCAACACAAATATCATACATCTAAAGCAGTGCTTCTCAATGTGTGGTCCGCGGACCACTGGTGGTCCGTGAGCGCCCCCTAGTGTTCTGTGAGTATATTGGTAACATTTCACATTTGAAATAAATAAATACATTTAGGTTTTCCACACTCTCGCGGGAATATCTCCGCAATGGAGCGAGCTTACGTTTGACTTTCGATTGCATGATATAGCCCAGTGCAACACCTTCGTCACACATGTTGCCACCTGTTTGTACCATTTTCAGGCGATTTGTAATCTGTTCAAGAAAAACAATGTGTTTTTGGATATTTGTGGAGTTAGGTGGTCCGCGAGTGTTTTTTTATTGGTTAAGTGGTCCTTGGTATGAAAAAGTTTGAGAAACACTGATCTAAAGGTTTGGATAAATGGTTAATTCCATTTTTCTATCCGATTGATTTGTCAGATGCTGGAAGTGCTAATTCTTCCCTCATCAGCAGTCACATCAGCAATGAAACGTATTGCCCCTTCAACTACATCCAGCGTTACTAATTATATCTACTTGAGTGCGCCTACTTAAGCCTTAGCAGAGCCTCATGACCGCAGCGTGTCCTCAGCCACACAGCCGTCCTGTTGTCTGATGAACTTTAGTGACTCACTTTCTTTGTTGCGTTTCTCCGCCGGAGCCATCTGCTTTCCCCCGTGTCCTCTGGGCAGGCAGCTGCTAACAAAAAAAAAAACACAGATCGAGTAAAAAGATTCTTCTCAGAACGAAAATACTGACTTAAATTTGAAGAAAAAACACATTATTTGGTGCCATTAAGGAAACATGTTAGCAAACAACAGAAACAAAGCGACAGCAGAGAAGCAGTTGAATGAGGCGTGAAAAGCAAAGAAAGTCCCATACTCATTATTTCACTTTCAATGAACGCTATATCCCCTGGAGCATGTCCCTGAAATAGTATAGGAAATATACAGCCATAATATTTGTCTTGCTGCAATACTATTACATTCCAATGGGTCACATTTCTCTATTTGTGATGCGAGGACTGTAATGGAAAAAATAGCAAGGCAAAAATAATGGTATTATTTGCAGCACTGGCCTTGTATTTTCTCATTTTACTGCTTGTAAAGGAGGGTAATAGCAGGTTTTATGTCTGTTTGCACTTTAGACCTTGCTGTATATTGTACATCATCTACTGGTTAATATATATGTACTGTAAGAGAGCTTTCTTGCCGTTCTACTAGAAAACTTTTTTTTGTTCTTTTACTAGAAAATATATATATCTTTTTACAATAAGACATGTTTTCGGTGTGCAGTATTTCATTTTAAATTATTTTATTTAAAGGTGCCCTATTATGCTAATGTTCAGGACAGGTTTCATATTTGTATTTTGTGTCTCTACTGTGACATGTTTCCATGCTCTTATGTTCAAAAAGCTCATTATTCTTCTCTTTTCACCCTCTGTCTGAAACCAGAGCCCAGTCTGCTCTGATTGGTAAGCTGGTCAGCTGTTTTATGATTGGTCAACGGATTAGAGATCTCCCAATGCAAATGCAGAAAACCCTACTACAGGGAAGGGAAACCCCTAAAAAGTATAATAGGGCCTCTTTAATTTGACATGTACACAGTCTACTTATTCCTGCATTTTTACTTGCACTATTTAGGTATTTTTCTTGTATGTCTTAAGTATATTGTATAGTGCACTTTTGGAAGAGCCTCAGACTTTTTGGAAAGTTTAGCATTGGCCAATAAAACCTTTCAATCTTGAGTCTTTGAAATGACTGAACTACTGATAGTTAGCTTTGTTCCTCTATGATAATTAAGAATGCTAACAAGTTGTAAATTAAGCAACAAGACATACAACGACAAGGACAAAAGGGCAACAGAAGACTGAACAGAGAAATGTCCCTTAAAGATAAAGCTGAGGACTTGAAATGCTGGAAGGCTGTGCACAGGGCCAGCGGGTTAGAGGAGTTAGTTTGTTTTAGTCAAAGTGGCAGAAGGGAGCGCTCAGTGCTGCCTCACCTCCTTCAACTTTCGTTCACGCGCCAACCTGGCGGCCTCGCGCTGGGCGGCATTTCTAGCCTCCTCTTCTAGCCTCAACTTCTCCTCTTGTGCCTCTAACTGGGCAGACATAACAAAAATAAAAAACAAACAGAAAAAACACAGAACAGAAAATTACCAAACAGAAAAAACAATGCAGCAAATGAAAAATAAAGCCAAATTATGACGCTGTGTTAAGGCCATTGTAGGTAAACAATAAATACCCTACAAAGTGAGGGGAGGGGGGAAATATCTTGTTAAAAATACCTCAAAATAAAAATGTGTACACTGAAACACTTAACTTCAGTTTGCAAGGTTGGATCAACCCTATCGTACCTCCACTGGATTACAAGACCTATACAAATTATACTTTGCAATATGATTTAGCAATAAGACAATATTTGTGAGTCCAGAATCTCTTCTTTTGATCCCGACTTCAAAGAGACATTTGAATTCGGCCATTGGAGAAGAAAACAACTAAATTATTTGGGCGAGGAAGGCTTTCGCCATGTTCTATACGTTGCACCTCCTCACTAACATGCTGTTTTCCCTGTCCTTTAAACTGGGATAGCAACCTTGCAAAGGGAAGTGAAGTGGTTCATATCAAACACTATGTTTCCAAATGTATTTCTTTTAAATGTGTAAAAATTCAGATTTCTTTCTCACAATTCATACATTTATAATCTATAGAATATATATTTTTTCTCTAAATGTACCCTTTTAATTAAGTAAATATTCAAGTTGTTATCTCTTTAATTACTAACTTAAACTTGGAAATCTTTACTTTTTACCCAGAATGTTTCATAGATCTCTCAAACTACAGCTTCTTTGTTTCTTCTTTACCTACAATGGACTTGATACGACGTTGTAAAAAATAGGTCTAAAACATGAAAATAAATAAAAGACAGTGTGTCTCACCTCCGCTTGCAGCTTCTGGTCGATCAGGATCTGTTGATCTTGGAGCGCGGCGTAGCGGTGCTCCTTGAGGTTCTTGATCTCCTCTTCATTGATGGGCCTAATAAAATACATTTATAAAAAAAGTAAAGGTCAAGCGTTATTTTGTCAGAGAATATTTATGATTATTGTTTTGTATTCACACCAGATCTCTTACCTCGGGCAGGGCTGTGGGCTCTCAGCCTGCAATGCAACAAACACAACAGTTTATCATTACAGTAATAGTTATCAGTGTCAGATCCTCTTCCCTGCTGCAGGGTTTGACTCGAGTGCAACTAGTCTGGGACTCTAGAGACAGTAATCGAGTTACAGTGATGCACAGTGGCTGCACCCATCATGTTCTATCCATCACTGGAGGAAGGCTAACAAAGTAAAGGGTATCCGGGGACTACCAGCAAAATCAGTCTAATAAAATATGTATTTGCATGTATTGTACTTACAAATTGAACTTTGCACAAATTGTACTCACACTACCTGAAGGGATCTAATTTAAATGTTTATCTAAATTAAAAAAAAACGTATGTATAAAGGACCCTATGTATACTCTGTTCCTAGAGTAGATTGGTCCATTATAGAGTATTCTAATTAATTCTGTATATTTTATATTGTGTGTTCTTTAGATACTCTCTTGAGAGTTGTCTTTTCTACTGTGGATGTATATTTGCTCTTTTTGTTTATTTGATTCAATTTTTGAAATATTTGTAATGAATGTGCAATGCTAACAATGCTGCTGTCTATTTATGTATCTGTCGGTCTGTCACAACAGTTGACAGAACAATATTTTCCTTATACTGATGTAAAGCTGTTATTTATGAAAACGTCATCATTACATGAACAAACTTACCTCATCACTCTCTACCAGATTTTCAAACTGCAAAATGAAAAGAGACACATATATAATATGTAACATTATACGGAAGAGTCATCTTTAATACCAGAACATAACGCTAGTAAATGCACGACTCACACCTCTATTGTATAATGTTCCCCTGTGGTGGTGCTCCGGAAGTATTTGGACCTGTAGGAATAATTGAGAGTTTAAACATACTGGCAATCATCTTAAAAATGGGATGATGGCTTAAAGATGGAATTTAAAAAGTGGCAATTTGAAATGACAGAGCAGTATGAGGGTTACATTGTGAATAACTGCCAATAAAGAAGACAAAGCAGCTTCTGTGTTCCTAGTAGATGAGTATCAGCAGCTCTGGCACTTTATGCCAACATTAAGACCTTTTTTTGGTGCGGATGTGATGCCAGATTTTACAGATTTCGCTCACTGATAGTGCTGTGACAGAAATACAAATATATCATGTGTAATAAATGCGTCTTCTGTAATAGATACAACCAAGAATCATCTTCAGCAGCTTTACACAATAAAGCAGTAAGTAACACAACGTTTGTAACACAGTACACAACAAGTATACAAACATCAATTATAAATGCAAAATTCATAGATAAGCTTGGAATCATAACAATCTGTTCTCTTAGTTTATTTAATGTCCTGAAAGGTTTATATGCAATGGCATTTTATTGTGTTGCCAAGTCATGGAAAAATATGGTTCTCTTGGAGTTAACAGTTAATGGATTATTAGACACTGTCCATTTAACGGGGCAAATATCTGCTTCTGTCACAGCAAATAAGCACAGGTGTAACTTATAATATTAAAAATGGTTCAGTTCCATTTAAGTGACAGAGTAAGGGATCAGGGCCCTTTAACAGACTCCTACAAATCCATTGCAGCATTAATTAGCATTATTGATCACACCTGTGTTTGAGTGCTATGACATGTCAGCAGTGCAATAGGTCAATTGCTCTCTTTTGGCTGATGTCCTTGATTAAGTTAAGATGTATTTAAGCTTAAGGATGTCCATTTTGGGTTTATATTCTTCCTTTTATTTGACTTTGTTGTGTGTTGCACAGAACCTGGCCCTTCATGTTTTTAATCCTGATTTCAAAGACCTGATTTCTGTTTTCTTTAGACCTAGTAAGAGCACTTAAAGTGGACGTTTACAAAATGTTAATGCAGGTTTCCAAATGTCCAACCAAACACTGCTACCTATACGTGTATCTGTCAGCTCCAACATGTTAACATATGGATACATAGTATACCTAAGTGTGAAAAAACAAGCTGCTAGAAGAGAGGAAGCCTTCTGTATTTTAAACAAAGAACAGTCAGACCAAAACACATGAATTATTAACTCAAATTTGGTGACATAACTGCGTGCAAATAACGCATAGAAACAGAAAATTGATTCCCAGCATATTTTCAAAAATACATTAAACTACAATGTCCAAATATAAGTCTACACTCATTGTGAAAGACTTATAGAACAACCGTAGGTCAGTGTTTTTTATGCTAGTGCTAATTTAATTAGACCTAGCTAAACTACATGACCACTGTTGACAATAGGGGTGGGGTCTGAACTGTTGGACTGTCCGGCTGCAGGTTAGACCCCACACAGACCCAAGCCTCACCACTAGATAACCCTTATCTCAGGGTAACAACATCCCCACCAGGTTCACATATACAGCTGTCAATAAGTCTTAAGTGGAGCCACTTATCGACAAACTAACTTTGAGCTAACGTTAGCTGTAACCGGATGCCGCTGCTTCACAGATGCTTTCATGCTAGTTAGCACAGCTAGCTAATGTCATGTTTCACTCACCCGCCTCCTCTCTGGATCCTGTTAGCTTCTCTCCTGAAGAACCCAGCACAGTATGCCCAGCAGTTACCCATCGCATTTTAAAAATATTACTATTATCTAGCAGCCTACTAGCTAGTAAAGTCCTGACAGATGCTGGTGCATTGGTGTGGGAAGCTACATCTCCAGTCCTGCTCCAGCAGCCACTTCCTCATCCTCCTTCCTCTCCCGATGATGACACAAGTGTTCGATACCACCACCTGCTGACGATTTTTTACGTTTTTTCACAACTTCAAAACCGTTATTGATAGAAATGGCCATTTTGGCAGGCAAGAAGCTACACAAATTGGACCCCCCCCTCTATTTGTTACTGTTAATAATTAGTAAAACTAACACAAGTAGGCCTACTGATATAAGTAACTATTTCTACAGCAAAAGGAACAGTAGGAATGGCGTCTCCCTTTTACATGTGCTTTCCCAAAACAAGCATGACATTTATCAGTCAGCCACACATTTGTCTCAAGATCTTTGGTTATCTCTAACAAATGTGTATTTTGTAAAAATGAAGGAGAAACAACTAAACATCTAAGTTAAGACACATTAAGTTGTGAAGAAAAAAGAGAATGTGTTTAAGTCTCAAACAAATCATTGAATTAAGCTGTAAGAATGTTATATTATACCATGACAACAACAAAAAGTTTAGTAAACTGTCCGTTTTTTTATTTTATAGGGAAAATGTAACATCCTAAATTGTCTTACAAATGTGTCGAGATTGAATTTAGGAAGTGACAAAGTCTTTCCTATAAAGTCAGTAACAGATTTGTAGTAGGAAAGCATGCTTTATAAATGATTATGTATATGGTTTAAATTATCTAAAATGTTCTATTTCACAACAGTTATACAACCAGGCACTCATTGCAATCAGACTTATTATGCTGTGTTCACACCGGACGCGATGCGACGTTTGGGGGCGGCGCGATTACATGTAAAGTCAATGCAGAGACGTGGACAGACGCGAATTCGCTCCGACGGCGCGCATGAAGCGGTGGACGCGGCGCGAATCACACGATTGAGGCGATTGAACGGTGCCGCGTTAAACGCGAGAGTTCAATTTTTTCAACTCGAGCGTCAAATTCACATGACGCGTTCTCGCGGAAGCCAATCAGCGGTGAGGATCTCAGCCGCCGTCACTGACGTTCAACCACACAACATCAGCCGTTAGCTGTTAGCAGTTAGCACACAGAGCTCACAGCTCCTCATATCCGTTCAGAAACTGGACAAAAGTTAAACAAGTACAAACCACAGACTGTCTGTGTCATGGTGAATACAGTCGCTGCTTATTTATGTCTGTAGGCCGTTGTTGTGAGTGTGGAATGAGCATATACAACGTTAGCTTAGCCTGGTTGACCCGATCTTCATTCAGAAAACAAGCATTTTAAAAGGTGTTTTGCCTGCCGTCTTGTCTGCAGACTTGTCAAAGCATTAATTCATGGTTGTTACTAACCGGTATCAGTATGTTGTTACTTCGGCATCATTTAGAAACGTGTATTACAATTTAATCACGGTAAAATATGTTCATTTGTTGTAGTTGTAGCTCCCGAGCCAGCGCGTCTTGTTTGAATGATGCGAGTAAACACAGCTGACAGCCGCGGTGAACCTCCAGCGTTTAGAGCGATGCGATAGGAGCGATTAGAGCGAAGCGAATAGTCGCATCGCGTCCGGTGTGAACGCAGCATTATTCTTTACATGATTCTCTTACACATAAACTTCATTGCTCGAGTCACACTATAATGCATGATAATGTTGTGTTAACATTTCAGCTAATGATTAATGAAATCTATCTGGTTTTATGTCATGATGTGGTGTAGGCAAGTAATTATGATTATATTGTGAAATATTTTCACTCCTCAACTGTTGTGTTGGATGGATTATAGCTTAGATTTGTTTCCTCGAGTCTAGTCTATGTCATCGGGGCTGAAGAGGTAGGCATACAGCTCGTCTTCAGCAGGCGTGTTGTCCACATTGCTGACTCTGACTTTCTGGGCAACAGGTTTGCATCTGGGCACGAGCTTTCTCCCAGTCTGAAAGAAATAATTGCATTGGTCCTGTTTTTTATTTATTCTTTTTTTTTTACAGTTTCTCACTTAAAAGTGGGTAATTGTATGAGGTGGAGCCTCTGTTAATCTTCAAAAACATTAAAAGCTAATAAAATGTTTTTAAAATAATGTAAACACAAGTTAATCTTTGTCTTTTTGTAATGAGCTGTCATTTATGTCCACAAAATTCATCCATATCTTACCCAGTGCAACACATTTATTTTAAATGCAGGAAATGACTTACTATTTTCTTGGAGTCAGCCAGAGATCTCTCCAGGTACCTCCTCATCCTCTCCTGCTGTTTCTCTCTCTGCTCTCTCAGCTTTTCTTCACGCTGCCTGCAACATGATGAAGGATGACATGAAGTAACAGGCACGTTTTTTTAATACAACAAGCTATTGTATTTTTTAAATTACATTTGGAATTAAAGTGCTGAAACGGGTTTCTACGGCAAAGATTAAAATAATTAAAGCGAACATACTATGCTCATTTTCTGATTTATATTTGTATTTTGTGTAAATAAAAAGGAGGATTTAAGAAAGGAGTTTAATGGAGGAGTTTCAGGCAGGGGGGTGTGGGGGAGAAACTCCCTCTGGAGGGATCACAGAGATTTTAGCCTTTGCAAACCATTTACATGCACAAAAACTTATATATAAAATAACAAAAACCTTTCAGAATGAATTCAAGACCAACTTTACAAGAACCAAATCTGAAGAAAACAACTATTGTCAGTTCTACCCTTCTGATCTGCATGATGTTAATCAGAAAGGCATTCTGCAAATGATATAAGAAAATAGATGGTATGTCAGAAAAAAAAAATTACTTGCCATTGTTTAGATTTTTTAAGAATTCAAAAAGATTTATTCTAGATGTTTCAATATTGAAGTTGAAGAAATAACTATTTTCGATGGTTCCACTATCACTAAATTGATCTGATCTTACATTTCAATAACAGAAAAAAAGATACTTGCCATGTCTTAGATTTTCTAGACTTTACATAGATTGATTTACCACAGTTTGATACCGATAAGTCTTTTTATTTGAATGATTCCTATATCTTTTAAGAGTATTTTAAGAATCTGTATTAACCCTGATTAAAGGAAAAACATGCAATAGTAGTCGACATTAGAAGCAGAAATGAAGTTGTTGCTCAATCAACTTTTTCTTGCAGGCAAGAGTAAGTAATACTTGTATATCTCCATGAGGCATACCTGCTCCTTCTCTCACTGCCCTTGATCTTCTTCATCATCTCTAAGCTGTCCTCAGGGATGCTCTCGAGGCTCTGCAGCAGTAAAGCTATGCGGTACTCGATATTGGCCAGCTTCTCCAAGGTGCTAAGGTTGGTGATTCTGTCGTCCACGCAGCAGCGATGGACCTCGTCCACCTTGTCCCCCAGATCATCCAACACGACGTCCTGCAATCAAGAGTGGAAAGGAACAAGGGAAAAAATGACTTCCTGGGTGTCATCACTAAGTCCTTAAATTAGAGAGGCTGCTTCCTCACCTGGTCTTCTGTCTTCAGAATCACATGGAGCTCAACCTTCTGTCCGAGCTTGGCGCCTCTTTCCTTCTCTACATCGATTCTCTGTTTCATGTCGTTGATCTGCAGGGTCAGCTGCTCTTTGTCCTTTTCACTTCAGTCAGAAGGGTTTCAGCATTCAATGGATTGTGAAACATTTTCCAGACCCAAGTTTAAAAATGGTGTGGATATAAAAAAATGTGTAAGGAAACTAAAACTGGTACTTCCTTTTATATGGAATTATCAAAACACTTTACCTGTTGCCTTTTTTTGTTGTTGAATAAAACAAACAATGTCTTAACAATGAATATATGGCTCAGATAATTGATGAACTTCACCTCACGTGAACCTATCTTCTCATTAAAGACTATTTAATACATTTTTTCAGGAAATATGGAAACCTTAATTCCCTCATCTCACAGAAGGATGGGGTGTGGGGAGTGTGAAGCTAGTAATGGGTTGGAGGTCTTCTATTTCTCTCTTATATGAAGGAACATTAAATAAATATGACTATTTTTATTGTTGATATTTTCATTTTATTTATTATTTTATTTATAATTAAATAGTTATTACTATTATTATTCTTTAGTTTATTCATTTTTTATTTATTCTTAAGTGTGTTTTTGTATGTCTTTTAACATTGTTTGTTTATATGAAGGGAAACATGGCAATACCACGATTTATAATCGTTGAAAATTATGTTTCATAATAAAACATTTCTAATAGGATGTGGGAAAGTTGACGGGATAAGGAAATAAATAATGTGCAAATAAGAATAGAGGTAATAATATATATGTGATTCCAAGTAAAAAGTGAGGCCCCTGCAGAGCTCAGGACGGCAATACCTCTGCTTATTTTAAAGCAACACAACTTCAACCCCAGAGCTTTGACCTTTGACCCATGATGCTTACATCTTCTTGCTGGTCGTGTCCATGGACTGCTTGAGTTTTTCCAGAGTCTCCTCCACCCTCGTAGAGTTCTGAATCAGAGACAAGATCTGCTCCGTCAGCTCCGTCACCAGATTCATCAGCTGCTGGGGGTCAGAGAAGTACAGCTCCGGATCCTCCTGCAGAGATAATACACAAGGTGGGCAAAAAAGTACTGCAATAATACTGCAAGATAAAAATATGTTAAATATTTTAGATTTGGAAAACTGACCTCAAATTCTGAGTGGCCACTATCCAGTTTGGAAATTGTGATCCTGGAAGAAGTAAGAAGGAGTTTTGGAGTCAGGAGAAAGTGTTTGCAGTAGCATGTAAACAGGATTTAAAATGAATTTATGGTAAGGTATTCAAAATGATACAAGCATTCTGAAAATGACTTGAAATCATGTTTAATGGTCTTAAGTCATTAAGACAGAAGACATTTTTTCAAGCATACTATCGAAAAAAATAAATAAAGTAAAATGGATCACACTCAAAAGTCTGCCACTTTGCCTTTAAGTGCTTCCGAACATAGGTATTCAATAGGTACAAATTATTTTAAAGCTATTTCTATTATGAATATAGGAGATTATTATTTTGCGCGTTTACTCTTATTTATTGCTGCATCATTGTGTATAAAGAATAAATAATAAAAGCAAAACAGCCATCAATGTTGTGATGTGATGTGTTTGTGTTCCCTCACACTGCGTCGCTGTTGGCTGAGGACATCCCGGTCTCTGTGATGGACGCCAGCTCTCGGCCTGGACCGTACACCTCCATCTCCAAACCTGTGTGTTAGAAAAATCAAAATACGCTATTATCACACTACAATACTAGTCATCCATACTTACTTAAACAAAGGGCTTCTTGGACCACTTATCACTGATTTTATATTTGAATATTTTCTTATACGGTTTTATGAAATATTTGTTTGTGTTATTTCTTAATTATAAGAAAATAGCATTTTTTTTTTTTTTATTAAATATTTCATACACATATTGTTCACTGTAAAGCGTGTTCCTTTAAAAACAAAATGGATACTAGTATGTGCATGAAAACGCAAATTGTAATAATTTAATTTTTCTATTTTACTTTTAAATAACTTAAACATATAGAAAATTATTATTATTTTGAGGAATGACAATTTTATTATAATAAAGTCTGCAATGGGCTTCCATACCCTGGTGTTTGAGTGTGATGTTGATTCACTTGGTTTACTTGCCCTTCCTAACAGCTGACTCCTCAAACTCCCTGTCCTTCTCCTGAGCTTCTCCTTCAGACAGATCCTTGTTTTTCAGAGCTTTGGTCTTCTGGGCCTCCTGCCACTCTGGAGGAGACAACTCAAACAGCAGCTCCTTGTACCTCTTGTAGTCTATCAGGATATCTTCAAACTTGGCAATCTCACTGTAATAGAAAAATATTATACTCACTTACTTTAAAAATATCATTGTGTGATTCGTATTTGCTAATGTTTATCTATATTTACTACTTCTCACACTTCTTAGCTAAGCTTGGGAAAATTCCTTATTAAGAAGATTTGTTGCAATGTTGTTAGTTACACTCCATGTGCACCAACAGTATGACCTTCAACTCAGGTGAACTGAGAACATCCTGATATGGCCTCCCTAACTCCCTAACTTCCAGAATGCTCCTTTCAGTATCACCAAGCTCAACCCCTCCCTTTCTCCTCTCTCTGTGTTTAAACATGCAACCCAAACTCTATCCTTCGTCTTTCACTCTGCAGACTGTATGCTCTCTGTATGACTGACTGAACTGTCTTGCAAGAAATAAAATACGACAAAGACAGCTGAATGGTTTGATTCTCTATCCACATTTGATAAATACATTCCCACCACACTCACTATGACAACGAAAGATTGACAATTATTCAACCGCCATTGCACATTAGGTTTATTGGCGAAATAAACAATGTCTCAGCTGTTTGCCATAAACAAATTCAACAAGAACTGTTTAAGTAGTTAAAAGAAACTAATATTACAAGGGTTTTTATACAAATCCAACAGAAAAAATGCTACTTTCAATGACTACTGCAGTCTCAAAGTTATTCAACCCCTTCATGACTAGCATCTTCAGAACTTAGTAGAGCACCATTTTTCTGTTGTGACCTGCTCTAACATGATGCATAGCCAGACCCCAGCTTCTGACAGCCTTCCTGCGGAATCTTAGCCCATTCCTCATGGACATTGCCTCGAGTTCAGTAATATTCTTGGGTGTGCGTTTTGCAACCGCCTTCATTTCAGCATATGCTTCATTCTTTTTCCTCCAGACATACCGCTGGTCCATAGGCCCGAAAAGTTTCAGTTTCGTTTCATCGCTCCACAAAACAGAATTCCAAAACTTCTGTGGCATGTGTATAGTCTTGAGCATATTGGAGCCGACATTTCTTGTGCTTTTGGGTCAGTAGTGGTGTACGTCTTGGAGTCCGGGCATGGAGCCTGGCGCCTAACTGTGCAAACTGAAACCTCAGTGCCTGCTGCCACCAAGTCTTGCTGCAGGTGTTTTGCAGTCACTCAAGGGTTTTTGACCACTTGCCTCCTCAGGAATCTGGTGGCAGCCGCTGATAGCCTCCTCTTTCTGCCACGTGCAGGTAGTGAAGCCACTGTTCCTTTAACTTTTAACTTGCGAACTATGCTTCCAACTGTATCTTTAGGAACATTCAGTGCATTTGCTGTGTTTTTGTATCATTTTCCTTGTTTGCGCAAGGCAAGGATCACTTCTCTGAACTTTTTGGACAATTCTTTTGACTTAGCCATATTTTGTTTTGAATTTGGATAAAAACCCTTGTAATATTAGTTTCACTGAACTACTTAAACAGTTCTTGTGTCATTTGTTTATTGCAAAAATAGTATATTTTGCCAATAAACCTAATGTGGAATGGGGGTTGAATAATTTAAATTGCAACTGTATGTAATTATACAACATAATCATACCTTGTTACGGTTCCTATTCCAGCAGTCAGTTTCTTGATCTCAGCATTCTTCTCCTGTTTGGCCTTTGCCTCCTGTTCAAAGCTGGCAACAGAGACAAGACAATCATTTACAACGTGACTCTTTATAACGTGCAACAAGCATCCAGCTTAAAACACATCTCCTCACAATGTTCTGGCCTCCACAGACTTCTTCTCGTTCTCCCTGAGGAACTCCTCAAATTTCAGGTTGTCTCTCTCGATGTTCTCTGCCAGCTGCCTCAGCTGTCTGTCTTCCTTTGCAATGATTTTGTCCATCTTCAAAATCTCTGACCTTTTCATCACCAGAGACAGCTGGGGAGGGGAGAATAAAGGGTTCAATTGTTCCTCATGGGTGTGTTGGCAGGGATTATCAGGGCTGCACACATTTGTTACTGTAATTGATAAACACATAACCACAAACTGCGATATTTCGCTGCACTTTGCACTTTGCACTTTAATGGTATATTTTGTGTCCACTTCAATGTTCAATTTGTTCATTAAAAGAAAGTCAGGTAAGTTATTTCCTGTTTTCTTTTTATTAAACAAGCTATTTGTTTAACTTAAGCAGTTTTATTGAAAGTAGCAAAAGACTACACTTACAGTTAAAGAAGACGTATGTATTTTTATCGCAAGATATTCAACAACGTTATTGCATATTTTCCTCATATCAGGAGACCTTGAAGCTAAAGCAGACAATTTTCAAACTTGAAGTCTTCAGCTCGTATTGCCTTAAAGGTCACCTATTAGCAAAATCCACTTTTTCATGTCTTTTATATATCAACATGTGTCCCCTCTGTGTTAAGAGATTCTGAAAATGTCAGGAAAATAGATTCTCTCTCTTTTTGTCCTGAACCATTTACATAAAAACCTGTCTGAAAATGAGCTGATCAGATTTCAGCATCTTTGTGATGTCACAATTGTGGATTGTGCAACCATTAGCCACAGACACAGATTCAGCACTTTTTGAAAAATGTTATCGTCCATCTGTTCTGATATCTTCTTTCTGGATATTCTTCACTTTCTGCGTTACTGCTTCCTCATAGCGGCTGGGATATTACCGTTGTGTCACTGTAGCAGCATTTTCTACTAATAAACAGTATATTTGTGATATCACAACCATGATGATAGCTTGTTTAAAGGCCTGATTTCTGAACACGGGCTATCATCGTTTCTAGATCGCTCGTTTTGATTGATTTACAGTATTACAGCAATTAGAACTACTTTGTAATTTAATGTCAATCTGGAAATCTAACTTCTTACAATATGGGACATTTAGGAACTTTTGTATTTACCTCCAATACTGCTTTCTGCCGTTCCATGGAGATCAAGTCATGTTTGCTGTCTTTTGCAATGTTTTCTGGAAATGGAGGAGAGACAACGGTCAGCATTTACGTTAGCAAGTAATCCACGGTGTGCACTCCCCTCTGTCTCCGCTCACCTCGTTTCATCATGGCCATCTTCAGCTCATGTCTGGTGGATGTCTGTTGAGGGAAAACTGTCTTACTCCTGTTTTGTTTGAGACTCTTTATCTTCTCCCTTTCTTCTTCTCCCTCCTCCTCTTCCTCCTCCTCCTCCTCCACTTGTTCTTGCAGCTCTTTCCTCAACTTGGCCATCATTCGAGCAGTGTGGGTGGTCTTCTCATTAATTGGCAAAGCCAGGAATTTACGCATCTCCTGAGCATGCATGGGAACAGGAGCAGGACTTTAATATGGTCATATATTTCATTTTGTTCCCATATGAGTATCACACACTGTATGTAAAATAACTTTATTAGTACACACACCAACCTCTTTTCGGTTCGCTTTTTCATTAACACTCAGCAGGAACATGCTATTGCTGTCCGGCAATTTGAATGGGCTCGGTCGAGTGTCTCTCTTTTTCATGTCTGCACACAATAAAACATATCAATCATCTCATTGTTTTGGCTTTCTATTTTACAGATTTGTCACTGGCTACTACTGTACCTGGTTTGCGTGATTTGGCAGCACTGAGAGTCTCTGAAACAACAACGCTGCCTGGAGAAATCTCCAGTGCTTCTGTTGATAACATGATTAATCACTGACTGCAGGGACACTAGGTCTTATGTGTGACGCATGGTATTATAATAAATATGTACCGGGATTAAGTGATGACATCTCTGAGGTGACTTCTTCCATCTGGCAACACGCTGGCTCAGCGTTTTGTGTGCCTGCAAACAAAACAGGCACATATTTTTAACAGAAATAAAAGATTAAACTGTTTTTGCAGAAGACAAACAGCATGAACGTGTAAATGTAAAGCAGAGCTGGGCAAATCCACATAACATAATACAACTGTCCAAGCGCAAAACTTCTTATCTATACTTTTAACTCAACACATATGTATTCATTTATTTGAATATTACACATTTTTACAAAATTACAAAATGTTTTACAAATGTAATAGCTTATTATATAATAGGTTTTCACCTTTTACACTACCTTGTAGAGGGACCTAGAGTCAGTCTTAAAATACATATTATTTCAATTAATATTGTGCTTAAAGGTGGGGTAGGTAAGTTTGAGAAACCGGCTCAAGATACACTTTTTGTTATATTCCATGGAATGCTCTTAACATCCCGATAGCAATGAATATCTTAAGTGCTTTGATAAAAAATCCATAAAAGAATTCCATCTGTGCACAAATTTATCTCGTGCCCTCATTGGTCATGTGCGCGTTCGTGTGTGTTGGAGGAGGGGCTCTATAAGGAAGTGGCAGATTTTCTCCGGTTGTGTATTTTCAAATTCTAGCGATCTCGAGCCGGTTTCTCAAACTTACCTACCCCACCTTTAAATGATGCAAAAAACCTTTCACCTTTCAATGGTGATCATACCCATGGCCTTAATTGTTAACGTATTGCAATATTGATATACTTGCAGTATTACAAATTGGGTGTCAGTGGCTATGCACACGTCGGAAACTGGAATAAAACTGGAAGCTAATTTATCAACAGGTCACCAAATTGCTAAACTTTAAAAGAGATTCTTAATTAACCAGGAATTAAATCTTAAGGATTGCTATTTACATTTATACAAAATGTATAACACACATCAATCCCAGGGACCAGGACTAAAGCTGCCATAGTATACTAATTTGCTGTTTTAAATATGTATTTATCTTTGACAAAAGACAGCTAGTTATAATAAGGCCTACCATCAGTTAAGATAAACAATGTTACTAAATATTCTCTTCATGGGCATTCAAATTAGTTTCTGTGTACTTTAGCAACATATCACGTTTGGATTGTTTTCACATTTTATCCCGGAAGTGATTAGCTGAATTAGGCTAATCTGTTTACTTGCTAAACTAACGTAAAGTTAGCCCAGTTTGTCTGATAACCAAACGGAATGTTGCTTTTAATTTGTGCGGGTTAGCATGAAGCTAACTGTTTACACACGTCTTTAATTTGATGTTTAAAATGTATTCCACCTACCGCCTGATAATGTTGCTGTTGCTGTTGCTGCATCACACATCTCCAGACTGGGCTCTTTGTTTGTGTACTGTTGCCTTGGTAACAGTTGCCTTCACGGTCTCCTATTAACTCCCTTCCAATTGGATAAAGCTTGTTTGCATTGTATCCATCAATGTCTGGAGCTGTATTATAATTCACATATTTTTTAGATGATTAATGGATTTAAAAAAGAATGATACTTATTAATTAAATAAAAACATTAATCGTTTATTTTATTTTTAGTTTCATGGCCAAACCATTTTTATTTAATTAAAAACGGCTCGATAGGCTATATCGAGCCTATAGGCTAGCAGTTTAATTCAATAAAAAACAAAAACATAATGGAGATTCAGTATAGAAATATTATTTAAATAAACCAATAACAAAGAAGCCAGGATTATACCACACTAGACAAGGTTGGCCTTATTGTTAGTTTAAATAGGAAGAAGCAGTGGTGTAAAGTAACTAAGTACATTTACTCAACAATTTTGAGGTACTGTACTTTAATTTTTGCTACTTTGTACTTCAACTCCACTACAATTCAGAGGTAAATAGTGTACTTTTACTCCACTACATTTATTAAATATCTTTAGTTACTTTGCAAATTTGGATTTATGATGTGAAATATAGTCAACTCTTAAATCAGACTTAAATTACACCTGGAGTAAATTCACAAGCTACCCTGCAGTATACAAAGTAATTCAAACTAGCTGCACCTTTACCAGCTTTGATAACATTTTAATGATCAATCATTATAATCAAAACGTATTATGTATATTATTCTGAAATGGACCAATCTCCAATGACTACTTTTACTTTTGTTACTTTAAGTATATTTTGATGCATATACTTTTGTACTTTTACTTGAGTAACATTTTGAATTTTTTGACTTTTAGTTGTAACCATAGACTGTATGGTTGTAACAGAGTATTTTTTACACTCTTTCTACTTTTACTCAACTACCATATCTGAGTACTTTTTCCACCTCTGGTAAGACGTTTCAAAAGGTCAGTATCCTTCAGGAAAACAACAAACTAATGTTTTAGTTAGAACAGTTGTATTTATGAATAAAACAGATTATCAAAATTATTATCAAATGTGTCCTAAAAATACATTTATCTCCTTTTCATGGGTTTTTGAAGAAACCAAACATGACATTTTCTATACCAACGACAAATCTGCACAGCTTTTGTAAGAATTTCTTGCTGTGAAAACAATACCAAATACTGTTGGTGTCAAATTGCTTCTGAATTACATATTTATTCCAAAAAAGTCTCTTTTTAAAATGAGTATTTGGGGGATGTTTTGTTTATATGTTTTCCTACTGGGGAGAACATTTGGCAAAGTCAATTCTGTGTGCCAGTCATATTAATCCTCCACTAGATGGCAGAGACAGATCATACAGTCTGTGTCAAAGAAGCAACTCAATACTTCAGGTGCTTTCTTAAGTAGAGAAACATAACTTAAAATACATAGAAATATATTGACATGAAATGTAGTGAAAAGTGCAACCAAGAGAATAGTTAACAAGCAGAATACATGTAACAAGATTTTTTTATTCAGTAGCTGGACCCATATGTTTAAAAAATAACAATGACGGTGAGCAATATCTACTGAATGATGTGTTCAAGTAAAACCGAGCATTCCCTCTTGCTCAAATTTGATTTGATTTGTAAGTGGTTGATTGTGAATTTGCCCAATGAAAGGCAGTTGTTTTTTTCTTAGAAAATAAGAAAACACTCAGCAGAAGACATAATGTTTTTTACATGTACTTGTAACGGAATACACTCCTAAAGTTACCCTCCCGACCCTAATACCGTCTTCCTAAATGAAGTGGACTTAGATGCCGACACTTGTTTCAGTTTACCGTGTGTTCCAGTGAATATACTTAGAAGCTGATACTGTACATTCCCTTCCACGCATCCACACATGACCCTGCACATCTCAGCTCCACAGAGCAGCCCACACACTCTACACACACTTGCTTGTAGGAAATCCCAGTGTCAGATTGTCAGGCTAAAGTAAAATGCAAACACATGGGGGAGTGTTGGCACTCGCTGAAGAAAGGGCACTTTGTGTAAAGGTGTTTTATTCAGATATGAAGGAGACAGTTTCATGCTCGTAAGGGATGGAGAGGAAACATAAAGCAAACACGTTAAGTGCTTTATAATCAAGTATAATAATAATAATTGTAAAAATAAATTGTACTCACCAGAATGAATGGGCAGGGGTGGGGAAAAATATATTCATGTAGGAATCGAGTCTCCTATCTTCCAAGTTTCTACATTTGAAGCTTAGTAATGCTACTGATAGACAGTCATCCTGCACAGCAAGTCATATTTGTGTCAAGAATTATTGTTTTATTTTCTTCATAAAAACTCTGTATGAAAAAAAGATAATTTTGACTAAATTCATATTTAGTATTTTGTTTGAAAAATACAAATTTGTGTCAAGCGTTTTTTTTTAGATATATTGGAAAATGTACATAACTAAAAAAAAGTAAAAAAAAAAAAGAATAAATAGATAAAAATACATTTGATTTCAAGTGCTTTAAAGGGTATTATTTATACTAGTAATACTTGTAAAATAATAATTATAATAATTATAATAATCATATACTTTACTGCACAACATTTGTGGTGCAACACTTCTTAAAGTGGACCTATCATGCTATATTTGAATAATATATTGTAGGGCCATACCTATATAAAACATGTCTGTGAAGTTTTTTTTTTCAAAATACCAAACAGATCATGCATTTTAGCCATGCCTCATTTCGCTCTATTTGCTCTTTTCCATCCCTGTTTTTGCAGGGGCTGATTCTGTGAGAAGTCTTCTTCGCTGCTTTTGTAGCAGACTACAGCGCCACTTACAGGCCTGGCATATGTACTACAGCGTCTCCAGCGCTTTCGAGCGGCAATGGCCGTGGCCGTGGCCCAACCCCCCATTCCCCTGATAGGTGGAGAGTTGCCCATATAGGCGGAGCTCCCTGTTTCTGACGTCAGAACAATTTCAAATCTGTATCAGCTCCGTTGCAGCCCCGTTTTTAAAGATTTGGGTATGGAGGAAAAGAGAGAGGGTTGTGTTTTCTGACACTTGGTGAGTTCCCTGACACACCGGGGACACATATTCATGTATAAAAGACGTACAAAAGTGCATTTTGCATGATAGGTGTAATTTATCTTAAAGGGGACCTATCATGCAAAATGCACTTTTGTACGTCTTTTATACATGAATATGTGTCCCCGGTGTTCCAGGGAACTCACCAAGTGTCAGAAAACACAACCCTCTCTATTTTCCTCCATACCCAAATCTCTAAAAAAGGGGCTGCAACGGATCTGATAAAAACTGATCCAGATTTGAACACTTTCCTGACAGTGGCGCTACGGCATGGGCCAACTCCACCAATCAGGAGGAGACAACCACGGCATTGCCGTTCAAAAGCGCTGGAGACGTTATAGTACATATGCCAGGCCTCTAGATGGTGCTGTTGCTCACAGAATCAACCCTTGCTAAAACAGATCTAAAAAATGTCAAATTGAGCAAAATGAGGCATGGCTAAAATGCATGATCTGTTTGGTATTTTGAAAAAAAAAAAAGTATAAATATGCCTTATATAGGTATGGTCCTACACTATATTATTCAAATATAGCATGATAGGTCCACTTTAATGTATTGACACAGCTTCCGGTCTTCCAAGACCCGACCGGACAAAAAGACGTGGTGCAGGCACGAAACACACTACCAATAGAAATACATTGCTTTTAAAATCGTTCTGTGTGACACGAAAAAAAGGGGAAAATCGTGTTGGTGAACACGAATCAATAGATTAAATGTTGTGACTATAACAAGAAATGCCGTGAGACTGGGTTGGAAGAGCAGCTGCCTTCTTGCAGTAGTGCATGGGTTTCTTGAGCATTACATATTGCCTCTGCCTCCTCCGCTTTGTAGCCCAAAGACAGAGGATATTTGGTATTATATAAGAGGTGAGCATTCAGCCTGCTGTGCATAATGACAGCTTTTCTTTAAACATAATTAACACCGCCACCTCCAATGTATACACTGTCAAGATAGGAAAACTGCACATCAATAATTAAGCACATAAATGTATACCCACAGAAAACAAAATTAAGAACAGAAGGCATTTCCTGAGCAACATTTTCATCTAACTTCACTAAATGATATTCCGCTCAAAGCAATCTTGAAGCAATTAGCATTAGGGGTGAGGGAAATATCTATTCATGAAAGAATCCAGACATATGTTATGAGATTCTGAATCAATTCACAAAATACGAAAAAAAAAATGTAAACATGTTTTGTTTTTACAAAAGAAGCTATACAGTACTTCTACTGATGGACAGTAACATCCACCAACAATAAATTGCATGTAGAGTTATTATATATATAAAAAAGTTTAAGCAAATGGTTTATGGAAAATATACTTCTATATGAAGGTTTCAGAGGTCAGTGCCTCAGAAGTGAACTATATAATGGTGACTTTTCTTCAAAAGCCAGTTAAATTAATTAGTTTAGCTGCTGACAGGCAATTCATCCAATCTTCAGGTTCATATTTGTATTGTGTGCCTCTACTGGGACATGTCTCCATGCTATAATGTTCTAAAAGCTTTGTTTTTCTCATACTGCCTGTACTGCAGCACCTCTTTTCACCCTGTCTGAAACCAGAGCCCAGTCTGCTCTGATTGGTTAGCTGGCCGACTCTGTTGTGATTGGTCAAACGCTTAGAGATGTCCCGCCCCCCTATCACGTACAATGTGTTGAAGCGCTAGCGAATAGAAGCGCAGGTGTTACGTAGGGATGTCACTATGTTATGGAACTCAGGCAGGGGGAGTATGTGGGAGAGAAACTCCCTCTGGAGGGAACACAGGGATTTTAGCCTTTGCAGACCATTTACATGCACACAAACCAATAAACCACAGGAAAGGGAAACCCCCAAAAAGCATAATAAGGCCTCTTTAAAAGTTCAATTGTAATTTTTTTTAATTTGTTAAC